TGATCTTCTACAACGTTACAGCTGCAAGCAAGGCAAACAGATGGAAAATATTGAGCGAACATCTGGGGCTGGCTGGGTATTGGGGGTTGCACGTGACATGGCGACCTGGGGATTCAGAGAGCATGATGGCCCCTCTCAAATCTGCGGGCCGCAAAAAGATAAGGTAGTTAAAGACTACCGTATGACGTTTTCGATTATTGCAACCACGAAGTCACGAAGTGAATCATTTCGATCCCATACTGTACTATGCGTTTCAAATCAGTGGGAAGCAGTAGCACTTTCAGGTAATGAGGTCCAAATGTGTTTCTACGGGAATTTTGGGCTGGTTATCGCAGGCTGCGATTGATCTGACTAGGCTAAAAGCCATAAATAATTTCCTGGATTCGCGCGGTGGAGTCACCTGACGATGAGGCTGAGGCCATGCCCCTCATTCAACTCATAAGAGTCTAAGGTCTTCACAGTATCTTGAAAAGCACAAGAGGCGTTTCAATTTACCATGGCATCAATATCATTCGGTGACAATAACTATGCATTGCAGATAGGAGAAAACCATGGGCCAATACACGCGGAAATCCATCCGCCTCCAGGTAAGCCAAAAGCCAGATATGAAGATCCACTAACTAACTAATCATCTTCTCAGAGCGACCGAAGACCCCACCCAGCCCACTCTCAACTGTCCCATTCCTGCGCGATGTAGACTTTGTGAGCCGCGACAAGCCCCTTCGCCAGATGCGCGAGAAAAATGCAGTACCAGGCTCGAGAATAGCGCTAGTCGGTCTCGGCGGTGTCGGGTGAGTGTAGAGCGATCATTCTATATTTTGTACTCATTTTGTATTTTGTTTCTCACAACTGGAAGGAAATCGCAACTGGCTATTGAATACTCTTATCGCATTCGGGCTGAATCGCCGGTAACGTGGGTTTTCTGGGTCCATGCGAGTAACGAAGCGCGGTTTGAGCAAAGTTTGCGGGATATCGCAGACCAGCTGAAGATCCCAGGTCGTCTGGATCCCACAGTGAATATATTTAAATTGGTTGAAAGCTGGCTACGGGACGAGAAGAAAGGAGAATGGGTCTGTATTCTGGATAATGCCGACGACTATGAGTTTCTCTGTTCGCTTCCAGCAGTTGATAAGGGAGCTCTAGCGAAACCACTTTTGGAATATATCCCAAAAAGCTGAAATGGGTCTCTCATAATCACAACTCGGAGCAGAGAGGCTGCGCTAAAGATGGTGGCTTATAAGGATTTGATTGAAGTCAAACCGATAGAAAAATCCGAGGCGCTAGAGCTTCTCCAAAAGAAGCTTGAATAGCCGGCAGAAGACCAAGATAGTGAAAGCCTAGTGGAGGAGCTCGAGCTTATGCCGCTGGCGATCGTCCAGGCAGCTAGCTATATTCGAAATCGAGCTCCTCGCTGTTCGGTATCACAATATCTAAAAGACTTCCAAGCAAGTGACCGCGAAGCGACTAAGCTTCTTGAGAGAGAAGCAAACTGCCTAGATCGGGACTGGGAAGCGAAGAACTCAATTCTAGTGACCTGGCAAATATCGTTTAATTATATTCGTCGCTAAAAGGCATCTGCGGCGGAACTACTTTCTCTTATGAGCTTCTTCGATCGGCAAGGGATACCAGATAATCTTATTCGGCCCCACTTTGAGGCCAGCGGCATCTCTACTTCAGAACTCTTTAACAGCTCTACTGATGGAGAAACAAGTGAATCTGATATAGGACCCGATTTTGAAGATGATATTGCAATGCTGAGGGACTATTCATTTATGTCTACTAGCGAGACCGGGACTTTCTTCACGATGCATCGATCAGTGCAACTAACTACACGTGCATGGCTCAAGTCTCATAAGCAAATAGACCAGTGGGGGGAGAAATTTATTAGTATTTTATACCAAGAAGTTCCCACCGGTCAATATGAAAATTGGGAGAGATGCCGGTCGCTGTTTCCTCACATTCGATCAGCAATATCTCAACAACCAAAGTCGGAGGATTCTCTATTACAATGGGCCACAATCCTTTATAGAGGTGCGTGGTATGCATTGGAAAGCGGGAATATCGCAGATGTAAGGGTAATGGCTTCGAAATCAAAAAAGCAGAGAGCGAAACTGTTAAGTGGCGAGGATGAAGAGGTCCTTGCAAGTACAGCGATGTTGGCAGAAGCATACTCACTTGAGGGCCGGTGGAAGGAGGCCGAGAAGCTCAAGGTGCAGGTCCTAGAGACTCGCAAGACGAAACTCGGCGCGGACCATCCTTCCACGCTGACGAGTATAGCCAACCTCGCGTCCACATATAGGAATCAGGGCCGGTGGGAGGAGGCCGAGAAGCTCGAGGTGCAGGTCCTAGAGACTCGCAAGGCAAAGCTCGGCGCGGACCATCCGGACACGCTGACGAGTACGGCCAATCTCGCGTCCACATACAGGAATCAGGGCCGGTGGGAGGAGGCCGAGAAGCTCGAGGTACAGGTCGTGGAGACGAGCAAGACGAAACTCGGCGCGGACCATCCGGACACGCTGACGAGTATGGCCAGTCTCGCGTCCACATATAGGAATCAGGGCCGGTGGGAGGAGGCCGAGAAGCTCGAGGTGCAGGTCGTGGAGACGAGTAAGACGAAACTCGGCGCGGACCATCCTTCCACGCTGACGAGTATGGCCAACCTCGCGTTCACCTGGAAATCTTCAGGTCGCAGTGCCGATGCCGTCGAATTGTTACGCACATGTTCAGCGAAGCAGGAACAAATACTAGGGCCGAACCACCCGGACACTTTATCTAATTCTGGAACATTGCTGGAATGGGAAACGGAGGCGCTGAATGTGGATGCCTAAGTGGGGTAAACGCTTGAATACAGTATGTGTATGTTTACATGACAATGTATATTCTATTTACTAATTTCTCGAATTGATTCGCCAGTATACCTCATTATACTATGGACTGAGGGAAAGGGCTTCACCTCAGAGCTATGGCGGGTATTGTTACCGAGGGTGACGACAGTAAGGTCACACGAGCGAGCTAACGAACAACGTCATGGACGTATTAATGGTAATAGTATTTCATGACATTTATAAAATCCAGTCTTCCATGATACTGTCTTTCGATACGATTTAGCCCCTCGAAAGTAGGCTAGGCCAGATATAGATTAGGGTGTTTCAGAGTAGGGGTTGAGAAAGAATTTCTGTGTTCAAGTGGTGAAGCTGATTTCGATCCACCTGTAACAAAACGTGTCCTTATACGTTTTAAAGCGAATTTCTGACCAAATACTATCTTGAATGGATTCAACAGCTGCATAAATATATATGATAAAATCCCTATTATACTACAAAGGTCTACTCGGAATCAATTTAAATATTCGATTCTATTAGGTTTTTCTAATACTAACTATACTAGACTGACTCCTTTATAAAAAGTTGTACCGTCGAGTAAAAGCAGCTTTTTGGGAAAAGACCTGTAACCTACTGACTGTATCAGACCTGGCGTCACTCCTAGAAAAGTTTGCGAAGCACTCAAAAAGAACAAAATAGCAGGATTGATTTTCATCTGCCTTCTATTTTCGAGCATGAAAAAAAATTAGCCCAGGTACTTTAACAAAGACGATGAAGAGAGGACTAGAAGAAGAAGGTGTGTATGTATGCGTAAATCCATACTTTTTGGCAATCAATGTTAGTTAGTTATATCATATTATTTAGTAAGCAGTCCAAAAGCGACTGAAGTACAATGTTTGAATGTGCGAAATGTAGTATAAATAAAGATAAATAACCGATCATTCTGAGAAACTTAGCATTCGAAGCTTAAGGTGAGTCTTCCATGTTTTATTTATGGGCTATAGATTTACCCAAAAATGAGGCTAAGTGCATGCACCTTCTTTTGATGACGTACAGGCGACAGTCCGTTCTCTTGATTAATAGACAACGCACACCATTTGGATTATGGCATCATAATATTAGATCATATTATTAAGTAGTATTAAGTTGATGTTTCAAAATAGAAAAACACCGACATAATGATAAGAGAATTTCATGGTTACCAGAAAGGTTACCGCAGCCTGCCTAGTCAGTTTGTGGAGGTCAATGAATTGATGACTGTTCTCTACCTAGAGTGACCGGGAGCCCCACCTTATCCTTAGTTTATATTTTCGTTGCCACATGATGTAGAATGTTTGGTTTATGGTACAGTGCTAGACTGCACTTGAGTTTAGCGCTTGTGGGCTTCGATCGTTTTTGATCATCGCAGAGCGACTACTTTGTGGTCAGTACTGCAACTCGAGAAAAAGCATAACTTACCATCGTATAATCCTAATATGTCTAATTCAAACCGCTGGTGACATTGGCCTTTACCTTTTGGGTTTATGCGAGTAATGCAGGCCGGTTCGGGCGAAGTTTCCGGCATTAGTGGACCAACCTATAATCCCTGTCGCCAAGATCCCGGTATCTATAAAGTCAAATTGTCGAAAGCTGGCTCCAAGATAAGAAACTAAGGACGTGCTTTTTGACGGACACGTTCAAAATCGGTTTCACTATATTAGTCTCTTGACTCGTTCTTAAATCTGACTATGTCGACTGTAATGTACGTCCGGCCTGGCTCATCTAAAATTTCCAAACAGGAACACGACTTGTTTGATGAACTGAAACAGGACTACCGTCTAGGAGCCGAATATGAGAAACCAAAGAAGAAAAAAATAAATCTGATTTCCATATCCTCTGTATGTTTGCTAAGTTCAAGGGTGACGAGCTCTTTCGCATATTCCCAGTGACATGCCAGGTAGATCCGACGAGAAGTCCGGGAATATTTCGGCAAAGAGACAGTTATCTCATCTATTTGTTTCCTCAACATTGAATGTGATCACTGACTAATTAGGCATTATTCCTCGTTCGAAGTACATGGTTTAATAAATCACGTTGCGTTTTGAGGCCAATTTATGCAATATGGAACTAACGATGATTTCTAATTTGGAAAGGGTCAATAAGAAGTACAGAAGCAAAGCAACGATCAGACACAGATATTTACTCACACTCCTTGCGATATGAGATACGCTCCTTTTCCCAGGAGTACCACAAAACCAGATATTGAGTCTCTTGGCGACCATCGCGGCAAATAGTTCTCTTTGTGATCGTTTTGGCTGGGAATTTTACACCAATGTTCAAGCCCTATAGACAAACATTTTAGTACATATCTGCCAATATTGAAGACAAAAAGTTTTACATCATCCTGATCCAAGTGTCTTACATAGGATTCGCCGTTATTGGAGGACTTGTCTGAATAGTATGATAGTTCCTCTGTGTCGGAGATAATGAATTCACGGTCTTCACTTGTTTCTGATTGGACAGAATCAGATTCGCTCTCCAAAAAAGTGAGGTCTGAATCATCCGATACCTCGGAACTCATGATAGTAGAGCTGTGAAACAAAGTCTTATGTAGTGTCTTGATTAGGGAAACGCGCCATCTTATGTATCAGAATTGCAATTCAAAACCAAATAAACATTCAAATTTCGTAGTGTCATTTTGGTGAATGGATACCAGTTTTCTACTGGGTATTTCTTAAAATTTATTCATCTTTCATTTTGGAAGATGTGTATGGACGTTTAGTAGTCTCATGATTTTGAGGTATGACCGGGTACTCGGATTGCGCATCACCCGCAAAATTTTTGTTCTGAGAAATGCTTAAGTGAAGTTTTGAGGCAGTTTTAAGTAATACCGACCGTTTGGAGGATATGAGGAATATTGGTGAGTCAACTATGGTTTCTAAGATGAGTCTTCATGAAGTATTGGTATGTCTGGTGAGCGTTCAAAATGCAGCTGAGGATGGGCTTCTCTCATTTACTTTCAGATACTAGGCTTCATAGATAGTTTTGGAGCTATAGACACACATGAGAAGATAGACAGTATAACCTACTAGAGAATTGACGTGCACTGAATCACGGCTATGTAGATCCCAAGTCCCAACGGTATTATCTTCTAACGCTGATATGAGTTAGGATCTGGGATCCAGCCACCTACTAGCGTACATCAGTATAGTACTTTTGTAAACCAGTATCGCCGCCTGAAGTCTTTCAATATCTCCCCCGCGCTTATGTCAAGATTCGCTAGTCTATATTCAAAATGGTCCCGGAACACTGATGTTTCTCTACATGCTTCATAAAAACGATGTCAGGTTATGCCTAGTGATTGCATGGAAATCTTTAGCAATGTGTTTGTACTTTCTGAAATAAGCGGTTGATGAACAGAAGTAAACGAGGACAAGTATCTGAAAATGAAAGCTCGGGTACGCACACAATACAGAAAGTAGAATTTCCACTCAGCAAAGAGACATCGCGAAAGGATTCAGTAGCAAGTTGCTTGGTCATAATGTCCATACAATTCTTCCTTAAATCGGTATCACTAATTGTGAGATCCTTGAGACCAACAAGAAGGACTAAACCGTTTCAATTCTCGCGCTTGAATTCAAAGGCCTCAAAGATGTATGGACGCAATTGGATCTTTTTCTTAGAGGGCTTTGCTCGCCTACTTTACTTCCTCCACATATGTCCGGTTTCAAGTAGCCAGTGGTGGAAAGAAAACCCCATTTCATATTTTCCATTTTTGGTTCAATTCTGTAGAGATTCTGCTTTACGGCATCAATTCATCGCATGATTATTTTCCGCGTATTCCTGAGGGCGAGTATCTTCATTATGTATCAGTCAATCATAGATAACATCCTTGTCGAAGACCTTCTATGTGGACCAAGAATACGCAGAGTGAATGGGAGTGCTCTAGCCTCCCTATTGGTTGGCGACCTTGCTTTGCTTTGTTAGGTATTCAGGTAGTGTGCTACAAATCATCTGTTGGTGAATTGCTGCGCGAAGTTCAAGACTTCCTCAGTCAGTCGTATGGAAAAATCACACGTCATGTTAAGTTGCTGAGACTCTCAATATATTTCAGGTACTTCCGCCACGCATATGAGTGGTCCATTACAAAAAAGCATAAACTCACACGCTAGCCAGCGGGTTTTGTTCGTCTAGTTTGGCAGCAAGTTACGGACACTACCCTATGCATGTGCATAGCTTGTATTGTCAAAAGGGCATTGCATTCACACCTACTCCGTTGAGATGAACGACAGGAGTTCATCGAGTCAGTCTGATTGCGAGACCGGAAATGCTCAAATTTTTCAAAACTCGACACTAGCAGATTTTCACTTGGACTTTGATCTCGAGACTTTGGGCAAAGATTCTTCTGCTACTATGACACCTCCTCCCTGCCTTGCCACGGGTGATGTCACATCACCGAATGACGAGATGGCGCCCTTTCTGAAAAAGCTGCCTGAAATCGAATATATCTTCTTTTCTATACCTGAAAGCGACCATGGGTTCTTTTGGTTCGGACCAGACCCGCTCGCTCCTCAAACTTGCGGGGATGACATTTTTTTGCACATTTCTTGTTTCCCTTTTTTGCACAAAGTCCTTTGGCTGGAATTTCTATTGTGCAAAGTCAGTCTACTCACGGGGAAAGTGGTAGAGCGAAACATATTTTATTTACCCAGAAAGGAGTCGACACTTGGAAATTTACCACTGATTCGTCGCCGTATAAGAGAACACATCTGCGGCTATGACCATGAAACTGCAACCGGGCTTTGCCGTCTTCGTTTATGTATATACCCACGGTACGGGTTATCTCCTGCATGTGAAATTAGGACCAAGGTGCTTTGCGATGGAAGTTGTGACAGATCTGTGCTAGATCCAAGCTTCTTTGTTCGAAATGTAACAGCAAATTTTCCGTGACAATGTCAAGCCTCGGAAGCGTTAAATAGACAAATAGCAGAAGGGAAATTCCAGGATACAAGAATGTTTTAGGCTTTTCGACGCAGATAATCTCTCGCTTTTCATCCCAAGATTCGTGATCACTGTAGTACAGTAATACTTGACATTGGCTTCCATTATTTTACACTGAGAAACTACCTCAGATCCATATGCTAGGACGAAATTGAATCTCGCTATACTAAATTTGGACTGGGTGTTGATTCTTGGCCATAACTTAGGGTTTCTGACCATGACTGGAACTGCATGTTTTGGAAAGAAATTCTTTGTGAAATCAATGGAAGGAATTTCGAATCTAGTTTTACTGAAGGCTAACTTTACCAGTCTACAAAATGAGCTTCCCTAGTACACATTCAGCAACTTCATCTGGTCCCACTGCCAAACGCGCAACACATCGAGCGCAGCCTCCACGAAAATAGCTTCACCACTGACAAATGAGGCTTCTTTCTGGTGTCCTCCCTTTGAACCCCCTTATAAACCCCTTTCAGTTCGATCTAGTTAGCTCTTCTTGGTACTCACTGGTCAAAAAAGTCATCTCGACACTGGCTTGACCAATGCACACGTGATGAGTTTTTTATAGCCCCACTGCCCAGGCCTCAGATCCGTCGTTGACACGGTGAAATTCAGAATGTATGGTACAATACCTACTACACTCCACATGAAATATGTCACTGGAAGCGTAAAGGCGAAGGGACAATCTTGGGTTGTTCATCCGGTGCCCGCTTGCAGTAACCTTGAATAGATGGGCCTGGAGAGGCTACAAGAACCGCAAGTGATTAACTCAATCTCGTCACCACCATGAAGACCCGATGCTTTCTCGAGGATCTCAATCGCACCGGATAGAGAGAATGCAACGAGCGGAAGCCACACGGTCTACATTGGGCATTTTCGTCTACTAAAATGCCTCGGGTAGCCAAGGCGACCTCAGCGCAGCGGCCGCGATGATCGGTGGCGAAATAGAAGTGGCCGAATACATAGAGTCTCTCGTCAGGCCGATGGTTAGATGGTCGCCCAAAATCAGATCCACCATTTCATTCTCTTAGGTTTTTCTCAAACCTTGGCCAGACCCAATTCGGTCTATAAATGGCTCAGATTCCCGTCCAATGAGAAAGGCAGAAGGAGGCAGGTTCTGTGCTTCGATGAGTAATTAAGCTTAGCGTCACTTAAACTAAACTCGATTAATTGTCAAAAAGAATAAGAAGGTGGGTTTGATTCTCTTCTGCCCTGTATACTCTAATATTTCATATTCAAACAGTCAAACGGCGTGCTATGAAACAACTCTTCCATAGATTAACTGTACTGAAATCATTGGGAATAAATACAAACAATGATCCATGAAATGAGCTTTGCCTCCTCAATGCTCTATCAATCGGTCGAATATCTTGAGTCCTAACAAAATTCAACTTTCAAGTCTGTTTTGACGTCGCATTCCTGAGTTGCAAAGTTATCATCGGGGTGATAATACACTAGACTACAGCTTTGATCACCAGCAGAACAGTTTATAACTGAACAATTTGTAAAGCTGGGAGTAATACGCGTGCCAAATATCGTGGTTGACGGCGCATTGATCAGAGATAGGTCATAAAATAAAGTGTCCATTGGTTGACAATCGGCGTACTTGTGGTCGTCGAAGCACGCACTATATTCTACTTGAGATACTTCAACGCTATTCTTCTGACTCGAAATCTTGAGAGAATTTCCAGTCCCATCAACTGTCATGCGATAAAGTTGGACAATATTCTCGCCCATGCCAAGTTCAGTATCGAGATATGTGAGTTCAGATACTCCTTTGATATATAACGGAAATGGGCAATTATTTGTTAAGTAGATGCTTCCGCGTCCATTTTCGGCTACACACAAGGACGGAAAGATGAAGAGGATGCATGAAATGAAATTATTTCTAAGAAGGCACATCGTGTTGATATTGGATAGGCCAGGTTCATTCATGAAGGACATTCAGTTTTATATAAGTTTGAAGGACGAATAATATTGCCGGCGTAGAACTAGATTCTATCTTACAAGACTGTCAGGCTTCCCTCTCATTCTTCGATATGTGCGTAGAAAACAGCTGCCATCAGATGAGGATTGAGATTGAGTCTGACAGGGATCACTTTTTGGTAAATGGCCAGATGCCACCATCTTTGCATAGTTTCTTGTCTGATACTGAGCTATTGACTTGGTCCTGTACTCCGGCCAAATTGATGGATGACTGAGAGACTACTCAGCATATATCTGAAATGCGAGAAGAATAAGTGATGAGGGCTCACTGGGTCCATCATAAAAGCCTATTCAGATTTCGCAAAATCTATAGTTGCCCGTTGAAAACTGGAAGTAATTGAGCAGGAAACAGTCCCAGATTCTAAAGTCAAGTCAATCTTAGGGTTGGGGTATTGGTTATCTCTAGGGGACTTTTCAAGTCGCTAGCATTGTGACGTCTTGTTTTCTCTAACTCAACGATAACAGTCGCTAAGATTAGAAATATATTTGCCCTTTCGGGAAAATCAACAGCGGTAGTCTTTTGTTTTAGTCCAAAATCTATACAGTAAATTTCAAAAATCGGTTGTAACTCCACAGTTACAGCTTAGTTTCTGGAAA